TGGGTCAGACCAGGAGGATCCATCTAGTCCAGCATCCCGTCTCACACAGGAGCCAACCAGTTCCTCTGGAGGGCCAAGAACAAGGCAGAGAGGCCGAGGCTTTCTCCTGATAAGGACATCAGAAGAGCCCTGCTGGATCAGACCAAGAGGGTCCATCTAGTCCAGCATCCTGTCTCATACAGGGGCCAAGCAGTTCCTCTGGAGGGCCAACAACAAGGCAGAGAGGCCGAGGCCTTCCCCTGATAAGAACACCAGAAGAGCCCTGCTGGGTCAGACCAGGGAGGGTCCATCTAGTCCAGCATCCTGTCTCACACAGGAGCCAACCAGTTCCTCTGGAGGGCCAACAACAAGGCATAGAGGCCGAGGCTTTCCCCTGATAAGAACACCAGAAGAGCCCTGTTGGATCAGACCAGGGAGGGTCCATCTAGTCCAGCATCCCGTCTCACACAGGAGCCAGCCAGTTCCTCTGGAGGGCCAACAACAAGGCAGAGAGGCCAAGACCTTCCCCTGATAAGGACATCAGAAGAGCCCTGCTGGGTCAGACCAGGGAGGATCCATCTAGTCCAGCATCCTGTCTCACACAGGGGCCAACCAGTTCCTCTGGAGGGCCAACAACAGGGCCCCTGCCCTGATGGCCCCTGAGTTTTGGCCACTGTGTGACACAGAATGTTGGACTGGATGGGCCATTGGCCTGATCCAGCAGTGGCTTCTCTTATGTTCACTTATGTTCTTATGATATATCCGATTTCCTTTGTCTGGTTATTCTCCCATATTTAGTCAGCATTGACATGTCATCTTATGCCGCTAAGACATTTCTGCATCAAAGCATCCTGTTTGTTTGTGACCCCCTCTCTTTCCTTGGTCCCCAGCTCTACAAGCGCTTTGAGATTGCCGAGGGTCCCCCTGAATCGATGGGCCGCGGCCGGGACTGGAACGTTGACCTGATCCCCAAATTTCTCATGGCCAACGGTAAGTCCAGCTGGGGTTTGGACTCTTGGTCAGCTGGCCCCCCCAGATAAAGGCCCCGTTTTGTTAAAGGTAGACCAGGGTGGACTGAAGGAAAGGCATCTCTGTAGTAGAGCGTTCGACCAGAATGTAGGGCAGACCCACATCGCAGGGCCTCAAGATGCATTAATGTGAGCCAGAATTTTGCAGCTCCTTGGCTAGCCTACCTTACAGGGTTGCTGCGAGGATAAAGTGAAGGAGGGGAGGACTACGCGTGTTGCTTTGAATTCTCTGGAAGAAGAGCAGGACAAAAAACTAATTCTAGAAAGAAGTCTAATAAAGGGCCAATATTAAAAACCTATTTGAAACGTATAATATACAAAAAATACATGTATTTATTAGAAAGACAATTAAAAAGATGAAAGCCTCGTAAAAACAATATTGAGGTACATGTTATTTTGCTTGAGGATCACTCTAGCTCTGACTTAGACGGCCACTCAGGTGCTTTTTGGACCTAAATTGGAAGATGTTCTAATTCAGCAGCTTTGCATTTGGCACCAGACACATGACGCTCATCTTTTGAGGCCTCACAAACATCTTTGCCTTGTGTCTTTAGATCTTGCTGCTTAACCTTTCTTTTCTTGGTCCACTATTCACTTATTGGCTATCTTATTGTAATATGTATTAAAGTTACGTGTACCTCAATACTGTTTGGCCTCTGAAGAAGGCCCCAAGATGGGAAGAAACACGTCCGATCATGTGTATTGGCCCTTGCGTTTCGGCCACCTTTTCTTTTTTACGAGGCTTTCATTGGGCTGTCTTTCTAAGAAACTGTCTTTCTAAGAAATCCATGTATGCTTGTATATTATAAGTTTCAACTGGGTTTTTCATATTGGCCCTTTACCAGACTTCTTTCTCACCCTCGTGGTTCTCGATTCCAGTTTTTGGGTCAGGTTTGTTTTCTCCCTCCCCTGTGTTCTTACAAAACTAATTATAGACCTGGTATATCGGTGTCCGGGTAAGTCTTTTTGCAGTCCTCAAGGAGCGAGATTTGAGTCTGGTAGCACTTTAGAGACCGGTAAGCTTTGTGGAGCACGAGCCTTTGAGAACCAAAGCTTCCTTCATCAGATATAAGTAGGAACGGAGATCCCCAAGTCCTTATATCCCAGTCAGAAGGTGCGAGGGGCTTTGCAACGAATGCAGAGGTACAAAGCAAAATGTAATCCACTTGATTAGAGCAGGGGGAAAATGCTTAGGGGTGGAAAATTAGCATCTGTCGTGAGGTAAGAATCCTGTGTGGCTATTCAGCCCGGGGGGGGGGGGGGGCCGTTTTT